AGAATTCAGAGTAAAATTATATAAAATTAAAATATAAATTCAGGCAAAATTAATATTGTGCTTTTATTGTAAAATTTTTATTTTTGAATTCTTTGATCTTATAAAGGCCATATTATTATTTCTTAGATCAAGATAAGTTAATGTGGTGTTCTTTTGAAGTGCTTTTTCTAATGCATTTTCTCCTTCAAGACCATTACTATGAAGATACAACTTTTCCAGCATGGTATTCTTAAGAAGTGCATCTGCTAATACCTTTCCTCCTTCTGTTCCAAGATGATTACTATCAAGATGCAAGGTTTCTTGCAAAGTGCATCTACTAACGCTTTTCCTCCCTCTGTTCCAAGACGATTACTATTAAGTTGCAATTTTCCAGCGTTGCAAAGTGCCTACCTATATTTGAAATTGCGAGAAGTATATTTTATATATATTTTTACTCTGAAAATAGATATTTTATCTTATTAATTTTTATCATTACTAGGATTACAACGTTTAGGTTTCGTTTTTCATCTGCCAAAAAAGGTTTCATTTAACTATAGCCAACATCCTTCGTTGTTTAATCCAGGAAGCTTGATCTAGCCTTGCGCAGAAGCCTGTGGTGGTTAGTATTACATAAATAATTTTTAATAGTTATTAAAAATAATTCGATCATTTATTTATTATTTTTTTTTAAGAAACATCTATCACAAACTCAATTTCAAAAATTCAAAAATTATATCCTTATCTTGTTGCGAAATTTTTTATTTGTACAAACGCATAGTCACGCCTATTATATTTTTTTATTATATTTCTTATATTTTTTTAAAAAAATTTTTAACACAAATTTTTTTACCTTTCGGATTAATATTTTAGAGTTTGGGCATGGTTTAGAACATTTTTACTTAACTGATTAATTAGATAGTTTTGTAATAATGTATACATAGATGTGTAAAACACCATAAACAATTTTTGAATTGTTGACTATTTTAAAATATAATTTCAAGCAAATTAAGGCAAAATTAAAAATTAAACAAATTAAATATAAATTTAGGCAAATCTGCACTGTCCAACTTCTATATTCCTATTTTAGATTATTCTAATTTACTAAGAGTCTCTTGGTGTTAATTTATTATACAACTTAATAAAGAAAGATAAGATTGAATTTGCTTATTTATGGCAGATCAAAGACCCATTTTTCTTTGGTCACATCCAAGATCTCTCTCTATAGTTTTTGAACAACCGTTTCTTCAACGTCCTCAAGAATTCTATGTTATCCATGAACCAATTAATTTAATTAGTTATGCTTATGTGACTAAAAACTTTGATTTTTTGAATCAAATTCTGTTACCTAAATCTACTAATCCGATCACTTTTGTACATCATTTCTCACTTACTCTTAATGAAATTCTTGCCCCTCATTACTATAATGATGATAAAACATATACCTTAAGAGTTTTTGCGAAGGATCATGTATCCAATTTTTTATATGGAAAGCTAGAAGGAAATCCATTAGAATCTAAAGAAATTCTTTCAAAATTTAAACATACATTCATAATTAGAAATCCAGAAAAATCTGTAAAGTCTTTTTATAAAGCTGTGAATTTTACGTATGAAGCTTGAAATAATGCCTGCGTATCTAATTCTGAAAAGTATAACATTTTTTTTCCTGAAAAGTTTGGCTAAAAGAATCAAGGTTTCTTTATTATTTAATTAAGAACATAACTGGAGAGGAGATTATTTTAGTAGATGCTGATGATTTACTTTGAGAACCGAAGAAAATTTTGAGAAAATATTGTAAGATGGTCAACATAGAGTTTAAGAAAGAAATGCTAGAATGGAAAGAAGAAAGGTCGAATATATAGGATTTAAAATTTTCAGGTCCTAATATAGATTATTTGTGGCATAAGTATGTTTATTATTTTTAAGTGATTTTTCTTTTCATATATTAACTATGTACATATTTTAAATAAAAAAAGGAATGTAATGCAAAGCACAGGATTTGAAAAATCAATCAGTAATAATGAAGAAATTGAATATCCTCAATATGTTTATGACTTAATTGCTAAAAACAAACCTCATTATGAATACTTGTTTTAACATAGAATTAAGATTTAGCGCAATTTTATACTAATTTTTTTGTGGATTATATTCGGCAGTTATATTTTTATATAGTTGGAAGTCACGAAGGAAAGATGAACAGCAATTAAAAAAATTTAATCAACATGAATACAAATTCTGGAAAAATTAACAGAAATAGCAAATTTGAAGCACAAATTGTGATATATGAAGATAGATGTTAATTCTGCATCAAGATAGTTTTTCATCTTTAATTAAAAAAATATTATCAGTTAACATTTGTAAGTTTGTTAAGTTTCTGAAATTAAATTTTATGTAATTTTAAAATTTTTAATTCAAGTATTCTTAACATTCTAATTGAAATTCAATTGAATATCTAATTTAATTCTCGAATCTATTAAAGCATTTTATCTTTTTTATTGTATTGTTAGAGAAATTTACACTGCTTCGCCAGATGATAATTAAAGTTATTTATTTTTAAAATATATGAATTTTTTATAAATATAAGGATTCCATCTTGTCAAGGAATAGTGATCTTACGTAGCAAATTGTTAAATATTTTTATGCATTGTGAACTTCATGTAAAAATTCAGAATATGCAACTATAAATGTTGACTAGCATATAGAGATGTAAAAAGTCCAGCCGGTCCAGACTCAACTCCAAAAGCCAAGTCTTTGTTAAATATTTGGTCCCAAGCAGACTTGGGACTTTGACTCGCATCTGCACATGCATTTAGTATGCTTAGATATAATATAAAAAATGTATATTCATGTATACTTTGCATTTTCTAAATATACTAGATATACATGCAAATGCGAATCGAAGTTATGATTTAATTCTACCAACATTATTTTTACCAAAGCTGCGAATTAATTTTACCAAAATTATGCTTAAGTACCAGAGTTACGATTTTTATAACGAATCGATTCTACCAAATTTACCAGAGTTACGAGCTAACTCTACCAACATTATGTTTACCAGAGTTATAAGCTAATTCTACCAATATGTTTACCAGAGCTTTGAGTTAACTCTAACAAAATTATATTTACGAGTTAATGTTAATAGTTAATTAAATTCTAATAAATTTATGGTTACCATAATTACTAATTAATTCTACCTACATTATATGGGGTGTTATCAATAGAAACAGCCCATTTTTACAATTTTTTGAAAAATGAGTTTTTATTAGATTTATATAAATTTTGGCATGATTAACATTTTTCAATTATAAATGAAAGTTGATTTGTATAATAAAAAATCAAGATAATGTAAAAGAAAAATTACATGAGGATT